GTGGTTGACCACCGGCACCAGGCATTCTTCTCTGCTCTGTCACAGGATTCTCTTCTCGCGTTTAACTCTGACTTTCGTATCGACTTCCACCTGCCGATGGAACTGTGCGAACAAAAAAAAAGCACAGGTGTGTGTGCGTGTGTGTGTGTATCAACTCTTGGGAATCGCGAGACGAGGCGTAACGACGACGAGGATCCTCTCGAGGACGTGAACGATGCGCCACTGACAGACTCCTGGACGACGAAATGTTAATAATAAGGTGGGGGATCGGTTGTACGTAGGAGAGCCACGACCCACTTTCCTCGAGACGTTTCACACTCCGGATAAGAAATCTTCCGGATTGTCCTCGCGGTTCAGCTGGCCCGGTTGGACCTAGGGGAGAACGTCTCGCGATCGAGTTCTCGAATCCCTTGCCGATCCGCGGACGACCGAGCCTCGCGAACCGTCGACAGCCAGTCGAATTATCGAAGAGCGAAGTGGTTGAGAATTTTTGGGAGTCTGGGAAAGATTGAGACCTGGACCACACATCAGGGCCACGACTGCACCTCCCTAACCGCGTGATATTTTCGTCGACGTGACGTCACAGAAAGACGCAAGCTCGAAATAGAAGACGGTCCTCTTCTTCTAGGATGCTTTTCCGTGACTCTCTCTGGCTGAGACGCCTCTTCACTTGATCCTACGACGTATCCCACGTCTGTTTACGATGCAACTATGTGCCGATCGACCGTCGAAGGTCGGATCGATCGTCACGGATCGTTCACGGAATGAACATTGTTCAGTGAATCTCGCCGACCTACTAACGCTTTGGCACTTTAGCATTACGCGCCGGTGATATAATAAATAAGATATAGAAGACAATAACGTGTGGCATTATTTTTAGAAAATATTGTATCAAAGTCAATAAAGCAGGATTTTCATTTGCGTGTTGATGAATAAAACGGTAGCAACCATTTTACTCGATGTTGTCTGAATGACTCAATCTTGCTCGTCTCCCAGCTCAGATTCGAATTGTCAAGAGATCATCAACAGAGGCTTGTCATGTTTAAAGGGTTGGACGATATGGAGAGAGGCAATACCAGCTAGCCGCGCAGAAACAAAACCAGGCATTCATCAAATACAATTATTACCAACAAATCGCGAAATACTTTGAACGAGAGTGTCGAATCGCTAAACACTACGACTCGTGGAATTACAGGAATTCAGATCCGAGAGGTGAACTCGAGAAGGCTAGGAAAGCAGAGAGATTGCACATTAGAAGGAGTAAATTGAGAAATTTGTTGAAGGAGGAAGATGAAAGGTACAGGAAAGAACTGGAGGAACGGAAAAAGATAAAAGGTCGCGAGGAGGAGACATCGTTGGAAGCCTTGAGACAGAAATTGAGAGAGAAACGAGCGGAACAGAGTCTCTATTTGCCTAGAACCTGTCGGAGATACCAGTCCTACTTCATCTGTCCCAAAGAAACGAAAGTCTGTCCCGGTTGGAACACTCTTAAGGATACTAATCTTCAGTATTCTCGTGCTTGCAGAGATTCGACCAATCTTATTCGTGAAAACGAGCAAAATTCTTATCGCGGAGATTCGAGAATGAGCGAGGATAATGGCAGGGCTTGTCAAAGGAAAGGAAATGTAGAAACGCATCACGAACCGTATATGTATCCGCGCAACGAAACTGGAAAGCCCATTTCGAAATATTCAGTTCGCTATGCTCGTAGGAGTTTGGAGAACACGAACGTGAGAAACGACGACTTCGGCGACAATCCATCAAGCAGGGCATCAAGTAGATCGTCTCTTGCCTTTGGTTCATCTTCTGAAAGATGCTTGTTGCCGAATGGCAACGTTTCTCTTCGTGGGGGTGATCAAGAGAACACGACAAGACAAGATATGGAACTGAACAATTCTCAAAATGGCACGATAGCCGAAAGCTCGACGGATGATCAATCGACGAAACTCGCTCGACAGGAGGATGTTCCTCGTCGAGAAAACGATGAAAGTGATTATTCGAAGCGATTGTCGATGGATCGTTTAAACGACAACGTTGATACTCGTAGGCCAGAAAGCTCTCTAGACAAACATAGCACGAGTGAAGATCAGAACGTAAAGACGGAGGACACCCGACAGTTCGAAGTTGAGAAAAGCATGCCCTGGCTGCGAATGAATCCCGGTGATAAGAATCTCTCGAAACAGATGTTCCTTTACTTGACCCACAAGGAGCTGAAGTGCAAGATCGAGGATCTCTGCAGAAGAGAGATGCACGCGTGCAATAAGCAGCACTGGGACGAGGCTTTGCGACTGAGAGACATGAGGAACAAGCTGGAGCTGATTCGCGAGAAGAAGCTGTATCAAGTGGACAATCTCGATTTGGACGAAGAATCAAGGAAGTTAGGATTGGTCAACATCGACAAGAGGGAAACGGAACTTATCGAACGAGAAAAAACGTTTATGGATTCGACGATGTACAGGTAAGTTTTAATAAATCGAGATATTAGATTCGCTTCTTTGCTTGAAACATTATTGCATTGTACGGCGTTCGATGGCGAACAGGAATATTCAATTATGATAAAATTAATTATGTGAATAAATCGAGAGTCCATATAAGCATTCATTAGGAAATGTATTATCAGTTCCTTTTAATGTTCATTCGACTTGCAATATCGGCATGTGACCGTGAGCGATGGTAAGGGTCTAGGACGACGAATAGCACTTCCTGCCTCTCGAATTAGTCGAGATTCGTCAATGTTGCAACCGAAAACCGTGAGTCATTCATGTCTCTCTCTCTCTCTCTCTCTCTCTCTCTCTCTCTCTCTTGATGCACATAACACGCATCAAATGTTTCGTAAATACGTGCCAAGGTGTTCGTCATCCTGCACGCCCTACATTCGGTGCCCGATAGATCGCAAATAAAATAGTGGTCTACGAACGTAGGAAACTTTTTTTCTCGCGGATTGAATTAAATCATGTAAGAGCAGAGGGATGATAAAAAAAAAATAGTAGAAGTACTTCTTATTGTAATTTCCCATTAATCTCTCGTTTTACATACGTACGTACTTTATTTTCAGTGAAGAAGCAAAGGCCTTGTGGAAGAAATGGGTACACGAAGACGACAAATCGGCGATCAAAGATGCTCGCTTGCAGAGGGAAGAATTGATGAACAGTTTGGAAAAAGAATGGCAGAGTCTCGCAATTCGCGATAAAGAAAGGATCTCACAATCATACCAGAGTGTAATGAATGACTCTGCTCTACAAGAGGAGCACAAATTGTCCGCTGCCATTAATGCGGCTAGAGTGAAATTCGTCAGTAGACATTGAAATAGGCCGTAATAGAATTTCATTCGAGCTTGATATTATTGTGCCAAGCTTATTAATCGTTTGCATTTCAATGTTTGTAGTCCATGATTTTCTGCCGACGGTAGTAACTGTTGGATATATTTGAAGAAAATTTAGGAAAATATTTCAATTATAATGAAATATAGTTGAAAAGGTAAAAGTGCAAAAAAAAAAATAAAATAAATGAAGGAAAGAGATATATTTAACAGCTAAAAGCCGTTAAATGTTGTTGAAGACTGATTACTATTCCTATTAAATTCCTATACTGAAATTGTTCCAAATGAATTACTGTATTTTCAATATTTTAAATAATTGTTTGTATCATTAAACGATATACGAGCATACAATGCTTGTAGAAATTGCGTGTTTCATTAATGAATTTGTATTTTATCATTCTAGTCGTTTTTTTTTTTTCTATTAACAATTTCACGATATTATTGTTACATATTATATTTCCACAGTCGATTACAATTTATTTAATTATGTCACAAATATTTATAATATTTTACCAATGAGATTACTATATGTTGTACTTCTACTTTGGAAATAAAATGAACACATTGAACAGTCCGCTTTTATTTACATTTAGTTGGTTATTTCTCAAGAATTTGTATTACACTATCTATATATGTGCAATGTAAAGTAAACTAAGTTCAAATTTACCGCCAGAGATTACATGCCGATAAAATTTGAAATCATTTTCTGTTTGGTACGTCAGATGGCGTGGCAAGGCTGGCAGTTGACTCGCGGAAATAGCGCGCAATATCGGTGCTCGTAGCTGTAAAATCGCGTTTATTTATAATAATTAGTATTGTCAAGACGCGTGTAAGTGATAACTAGTGCATCAATCATCAAAGAGCCAGGGACAATAATTGTTCATGCAGAGGCGTCCATTCTTACATACTTCACATACTTCAGTTATTCAAGTAAAAATTTTTCTCATACTTTAACATTGCATAATTTCCTGTATATATCTTATACTAAAAACTGTATTACACTAGATTTGAATCATTATCATTACAAGTCATTGTCACAAGAGTATTTAATTACACAGTGTACTCGATAACACGTACTCCAAATTATCATCACAGAACTACATACATGGGACACGTATAACACATAAATTATTTTCTATTTTCTTAAACATTGTACAACCTGAAAACATATAAATCATACATGTCGCTCGTAATACAGGATAAAAACATCGGACGTACTCCGCGTAATACACGTTTCTAATACCGCGAATTTGAATGAGACCTGTTTTTTCCATTACCACGTGCGTTTAGTCACGAGTCGTGACGAACAAATGGAGGATGGCAATGTTAGCACTCTATTATCGTTCCTATTCGGATCCGTTAATTAAGGGGCCACGTTTTTTCCTTTCTTTCGTCGGAACGAAGGGACGAGGGAATTTCCAAGGAATTCGCGGTAGCATGAACTAGGTGGTCGCCATTAATCCTCGGGCATAGCCCGCGACAACGACCAAATTAGTCGGCCGATCCGTCAGAAAGAGCATTTCCGTGGTAGGCGTGCATTATATCCGCCGCGGACTGAGCGTCACATGGTACTTCGCGCGCAGACGCGCCTGCGCATTCACCTTCGGAATGCTCCACGGCAAATGTGTTTGCATATACAGTGTTGTTTAAGCGTCATGACGTTAACGATGGCTTCATCTTTCTTTCTTTTTTTTTTTTTTTTTCTTTTTTTCAATTGCAGCCAAAAACCAAAAGAA